CCTCATCAGTCGTTATCACTTTTGACCCCCACCAAATATGTTCCCGTCCCACCCCCTATATCATGTCCCAAAATCAGCTCCTGACGACTGCTGCGAAGCGCACTATGAATTTCGTGAAATTTGTGTTTCAGCGCCTCTTATCTGCTCTTATCAGTCGTTATCACTTTGTGACCCCCACCAAATATGTTCCCGCCCACCCCCTATATCATATCAAAAAATCAGCTCCTAACGACTGCTGCGACGCGTGCTATGAATTTCGTGACACACGCACACACACACACACACAAAACAGACAGACATAGCGCTTTATATATAGTAGGGATAATCAAAAATTGAGCTTTATCTATGAATGAATTTAAAGGACGAATTCACGCTGGAAAGGCAACCCATTTCAAATTAACTTAGCGATGGTGAGTGGTACACTAAAGAAGGAAAAACCATGAGAAACGGCCCAGAACCCGAGAAATGGGACCCCTTCCTTGCCCGTTGATTTGAGCATTGATGCGACTATCATCGCTGTGCCCTCTTCAACACTACGCTCTCTCACCTATCTAATCACTCACCACGTATAGACCTGCGGCGAGTGATCAGATGATCGGTGGGCGTGCACTGGCCCACCGCGCCAAGATTGAGCCTTAATAGGTCGCCGAGGTCAACTCCTTCGGTGCCAATTGCGCTTCAGTCCGCACCCTTAGGAGGTCCGCGGGTCCCTCAACTAGGTGAATTACTCCTTCTTCGACCTTCATTCTAATCGTGAATTCGTCCTTCAAAGAGAAGTAGTGAGTCGATAGCAATTTCCAGCGGATGGAACTCTCCATGCAAACGATGCGAGTAGCGTGAGTGATGAGCGAGGCGCGGGAGACTTTTTTACGACAGGAAGTATTTGTGGTAGAATTCCCATCTAATGCAACTATTAGGTTGACTCATAATTAGTGTCGCTTCAAACAAAATTTTTCTTCTAAATCCTTTGCTTTTACATCGAGTCATATACCATTCGAAAGAGAATTGTCTGCTCTACAAGATGTTATGTTCTTCTTCCACCTCTGTTCCAGGGTTTTCAAATTTTAGGTCTGCGAAATGGGAGGTCCAGCCGACAAAAATTGACCAAACCGACAACTAACTTTATTTTCCCTGGGGAGAAATCAATCAATGATGTACCCTCTACTTACCCATGACCTCTTCTAAACATTCCACTCTTAGGTTGCCGAAAAAGCTTTGCCGTTTTTCTTTTCGAATTGGCTGACGGATAAGCCATAGCAATTTTCAAATTAAAATTGTTCCTCGTAAACGCCATTGTTTCATATCGAGTGGTGTTCCTTTTGTGAGCACTTCTTCTGCTCTATTCGCTCATTTGTTTTGTTTTTCTGTTTGTTGGGAATTAGTTCGAATTTTAGGTGTTTAGGAATAAGGTGTTTTATCCGCGAAAGTGACCGCATTTCTTTGAAAAAATTATCCCTGAGAAAATGAGAAAATCAACCAGGCGTACATTCCTAACTTAGTCATGACTTGTTCTTTAAATTCTACTAGTTTTTCAATGTCTCGGCTATAAAAAATTTCGACCTAGATCTCAGGTAATGGTGCTCGACCGTCGAGTTCTGGTTGAAAAACCAGGTCTGGAAATGGAACGACGCGACTTGTTGGGAAACCTAATAGTGTAATGTTCAGAAGAGGTCATGCATAAGTAGAGGGTACATCATTGATTGATTTCTCCCAAGGGAAGATAAAGTTAGAGATAGTTGTCGGTTTGGTCAATTTTTGTCGGCTGGACCTCCCATTTCGCAGGCCTAAAATTTGAAAACCTGGAACAGAGGTGGAAGTGGAACATAGCATTTTGTAGAGCAGACAATTCTCTTTCGAATGGTATATAAACACGATGTAAAAGCATGGGGATTTAGATGAAAATTTTTTGGATTGAAAAAAAGCGACACTATTTATGAGACAACCTAATAGTATGGCCCAAAATGCAAAAGCAGCAACAGCAGCAAAAGCAGATCCCATATTTATGATTAGACCTCTGCTAACCCTTTTAAGTTTAATTTTACCCAACATCGATTGAAAACTTTTGGAGTCACAATGGCGCCAAATGGCACTAATGCGCTAACTAGGAAATGTTTGAGGAATGTAGAAAGATCATTAGGTCAACCCGCGCAAGTGGAACGAAATATTCATATTCATAATGAGGATCACATAACATTCAGCTGAATTCATGTAAAATAGAAATAACCTCTATAGAGGTCTGTTCGAACTCTACAGTTCGAAATACGGGAAGAAATTGTTTCTTAGTAGTTCAAACTCTGCAAAAGCGCTATTATCAAGATTTTCCGCCGTTTTCGGAGTAGAGCAGCATAGCAAAAACAAAAGCCCCTTCACAAAAAAACAGCTAGCTTCACAAAAGAAATTCGGCTTCCATCTTCGAGGACTGGTCGGCAAGCCTCGTCCCCCCGACTCCCCAACCAAAAAACGACTATCGGGTTTTCTTCATAGTGTAATAGAAGTTGAAGTGCTGCACAATATAGATCGAGATTTACCGAGCCACTACACAGAAAAGTTGTAGGTTTTCTCTCTATTAATGAGTGCGTGTATGGACCATTTTCCGTTCCACCTCGGCTCCTTGTCGATAGCAGAGCTGATTTCAGGATCTACAGCATGTAGCTCGCACAATTACATGCTGCATTCTGACCTTCATTGTCATTGTGTTTGTCTCTGAACCACCATATGGGAAGCAAGCTTGTTTCCACGTTATTTATCCCATAGTCGTGTTGCAAATTTTCCGCGCCACCTTGGTTCCACCCGTTTTTGACACTTATGAGTATGGCGAAAGTATTAACTACAACATATAAAAATATATTCTGTGAAAGGAGACTTCCTTCTCGAAAACCTATTTCAGTTCAAGTCAACATTACAGTTGTTCCTTCATGTGATCTGTCGGCCCTTTAAGATTCAATAGTTTGGAATTGTTCTAAAGAGATCCACCAATCCTTGAAGACAGAATTTACGATGAAAAGCTAGCTCATTGGAAAGGGTAGAGGTGGTCAGTGGAGCAGGGATGAAGAAGAAACCATTTGAAACGGCCCGAAACCCGAGAAATGGGACCCCTTCCTTGCCCGTTGATTTGCGCATTGATGCGACTCTCATCGCTGTGCCCTCTTCAACACTACGCTCTCTCTGCTATCTAATCACTCGCCGCGTATAGACCTGTGATTAGGTATCAGGTGGGCGTTTCCGGCCAATCGCAGTAAAGGGAAGGTTATGCTGGATCGCCGGAGGCATATCCTTCGATGTGAAATGCGTGTTGGTCCAGACCGCTAGGGGGCGCTTGTCTCTCCACTAGGTGAAGTTCCCCTTCTTCAACCTTCGCTCTCATCGTGGAATCCTCCTTTGAACAGTGTGACGAAGTTAAAGTACGTGCGCCATGGAAAACTCCAGACTTTATTTTGTCCACAAAAACGAAATCAATTAATTTTTGAAATAGCGAAGCAAAACATTTTGATCGTTGTATGGTCCAGTATGGAGCCCATTCCTGTAGAAAGATGAAAATGTTATGGTTTTGATTACAAAGCATCATAGCTTTCTCGAAGATCCCCCCTTGAAGATCTTCGCATTGATTTTCTGCTTTCATCGATAGGAATCAATGGAGGCTTGCCGAAAGCAAAAGACAACCAAACAATTTAAAACATCAAACGTTGAGGGGAGGCAGAATTTTTGCGGGTATCAATTACGAAATTTCTTGAGCTGTGCCGAAAACTAGAAGGCAATTGCAAAATTTTTTAGGCGTACGGTGAACTTTTTTTTGAAACCATAGAGCGTTAGAGGACCGCCGCACCTTCAAAAAAATCCCGTATTTCCCTATATTTCTCCGATCTTGCTTTGCCCCTACACTGAGAATTGCCCGTTTGACAATCGGTAACTTCCAACCCCGTGCTTAATTTTTCTGTCATTTGGGCAGATCTTTCCTCTTTCTTTCCAGATCTTGAAATTTCAAGCCATTCAACTTTTATTCAAGCTCCCGTCATTACGTTCTTGGAAATTTTCCGCACTCATCAAGTCCGTCCTCATTCTCCTTCGGGTTTAGTCCCACCGTAGCCTTCCCCTCCATTGCTTTGCAATTTCTAGACGGCCCTTATTTAGAGTACTATGGGTCTCACTGAGCTCCTAATCCAACGCTCTAGCCAAGCAATCGCGTTGCAACTTGACCAGGACTTCACCAAAGCTTAGATAATGAATTCTTTCTCTTCGAGTTGATAATCAGCAATAAACAATTTTTTGTAAACAATAAGTACGCATGACTCCCTCACACAACGGAAAACTTTCCGGTTTCAAACAGAGCAAAATGTCATGTGATTTTCGCCACGCTGAACATGGAAGTTACCTAGGACATGCCCTGCGATGCCTAGATTTCGCTCAAACGTTCGAACGCAAGAACGTGAGTTCGTTGTGAGGTCTCGAGGTGGATTAGAAAGTCAACAAATATAAAATACCTTTGAAGTATTGACACTCCTGCAGTGGATGGCGAATCGTTTGGTTCACTCTAAATGGGGAAGATTGATCACCTTACTTAGAAAACATTTGCGAGAATAAAGCCGCAACATATTGTACATCTAAAATATTACAGATCGAAATGGAAATGTTCTAAACTCTTGGAGTTTTCCACTCCTTAGTTCATTAGCCTACGTGGTACTTGGTCAAATGTGGATCCATATTGAGCGGATAGGTAGCATTTGAGTTTTTCAAAACGCTTTCAGGCCTTTGAGGACGACGATATAGTCGAAACGTCAGGCTCAATAAAGATTCCACCGTACAAAACCTATGTGGCACACAGTCAAAAACAGCTCTAAAGAACGTTCTATATAGAGCTGCATGAAATAAGCGATGCCCAAATGCTTAAATGGAATCAAAACGTCGAGACTTTGCTTGTAGCAAAACATACAACATTTGGAATTCGTTTCAATAATGTATTGAACACTAGACCGCCTGAAATCTGTGAGTAGAGAAGTAATTACCTTCACTGACGAGTTGATGTCAATATCGCTTCTGTTCGCCTCCAGTAACTGTGGTGGTGCGGTCTTTTCCACATCCACCCTTTGCGGTAAACCAGAAAGACTACCATTTCCTTCCGTGGAGACGGCTAATACGCTCAAGGCATCCCGAACAGTGACTTGAGGATTGAGAATTGTCGTACTGGGATCCTTGTAGTTCTCGTCTACTACGTCGTTTGCGAATAGAGAGTATAAAACCGCTGAAAACAAAAGGTTTCCCACATATTTTAGACATATGCCCAGTTCTTTTAGAGCACGGTCATGTCTCTCGATCACCTTGCTGTTCGAATACGAAACAGTTCTTCAACTATTTCGGATCATACATGAACAGTGGCTTAGTGGCAGCCACTGCAGGCCTATGTGGTCCCTTGCGGCCTCTTTTAGAATCGGAGGGAGTGCAAAATAAATTTGCTGAAGTCTCCTCTTTGAGTTTAAAGATTTTCCTGATCACCAATATGATATTTGTTTTGGCGACGGCGCGAATTTTGCACCACCTTGGCACTACAAGTCTTCTGAAAATTTGGTACAAACTTGCATGCAGGCCATCTTTATCATCACGTACAAAACGGCTTTATCTGGAGTCAGTGGCAAAAAGGAAGTCACGGTTTCTGTTAGGCATCGCTATTCCATAGAAAAGTTTCAGGAGAAAATTCTTCTTTTGACACAGTGCGAACTTTGACGTGAGTGAAGTTGTTGCAAAAACAGTCTCAAGCTAGTCACTGGTGGCTATCATAGTTGTTAATGGGCTAAAGAGGGGTGAGATTACCACAGGCAGGTTTGGAGCAAGTTGACAACAAGAGACGAAATGTGAGACAAAATACTTTGCGAAGTGTTGCATTTCTACCCGCTGCCGGATTGACGAGTGCGAGTCAAGACCGCAGTTTACAGAGGAAGCCCTTCAGGTTTCTGCGGTCATTCAAGATGAGATGTACAACCCTCTATGCATCTTGTAACGCTGCTTCAAATCTGTCCTCCATATATGCTAACCATCTCTGAACGGAGCGCAGCAATAGAGGTGCTGGTCCTTAGGCAAGGCCTCGCGAGATCGGTTCTTTTGCGTTCGCAGCGTTTCTATGATTTTTATACAGGCGCCAGGCGCACTGAACAAGTAGGATATTCGTGTTTAGGAGGCCCAGCTACCCCTAAAGACAATTTTCTGGAGGAATCCGAAATTCTGACCCAACTTCTCTAAAAAGTGGGGCAGCCATTCACCGTCAACATTTCAGTAAGCGCTGACCTCGGGGTAAACCTAACCCTAGAGCTGTGCCAATGGAAAGAAAGATATGGTTTTTTGCCTTTTCATGGCGTCATTGTACGATTCATAACTTCACTTCTTCGAGTGATGATTCATTTTCAGACACAAACGCTGGCCATCGTTAACGGGTTAACCTCAGTATCACGTTCTGGTGATAATACCGGAAACTGTCCCGCTTCTCCGGAATAAATTAATTCTCAGATTTGGCTAGAAACTATTAGGTTGTAAGGAAAGTTCTGGCCGTTTCGGACCCTGAAGTTCAAATGCGCATATCTCGACTCAAACGCAACGTTTTCGATCGCAATAAAAACCTGCTGGATCTACTCGTTCTTGCGAACATTCCTTGTGTTTGATCATTCCGCTCACTAGAAGTACTGTAGTTCTAGAGGCGATGAACTAGGCGAAGGTCGTTTTATCATCACGTCAGATTTCGTAGCATTTCTCCTTTAGGGTGCTATCCAGACCTTTGAAAAAGTGGCGGTGAATAGGTAAGAGGACTAGGGAGTGGGATGTTTAGGGCATAGTTCAGTACCTCAGCTAGTTCGTTTTTTGCAGGGTCGGTTCTGCGGTCGACGGTTGAGGTGCATCTCGGCAAACAATCGGGCCATTTCTGGCAGCCCTTGCTGGGCATATGTGCCAAGGTTTCAGGGTATTTTGGCACCTTGCAAATGATACTGTCTTACTATGATAGTTCCGCCTGTGCTCGGGGAGTTGCGCCTGCTGTAGACCGCGTAAAAGGCAGAACAACCTTCTCCTCGTGCATTTCACCTTTGCAAATTTTTGTTGACCCTAGTCTTGATCGAACTTCTCAGCCGAAGACTATAGGTTATTGAGAAGAATCTATTCTACATTGCAACTCACAACACGAACAGAAACCGATCGTTTTCTTTGGATGAAAGATTGCAGAAGAAGGGCAGACGGCCCTACGGAATCGCAACTTTTCGCAACCCCTAGTTATTGACTTTTCCGTGCTTTTTAAGCCATCCCAAGAATCTTGAAACCATAAATCAAATACACACAATTCAGTAGCGGTCTTCTAAACTGTTTTAAGCACATTTGGTTCTATCAAATGTTTCAGTTGATTTTTACCGAAGTTCCACATCCAACGGTCACCCTCGCCAACTTCGAGGCTATCGCCGTCCCTACACAAGCTTTCCAAACTATCGCTTCATGGCTTATTTTTCGCAAATGCATGACCAAACGAATAGTTCATATCATGAACTTATTCCGCTCCTTTCTGCCCTATTCGAGGTAGAAGAAGAAAATCGTGAGGATTCGCTTGGTGAGCATGTTGCATTCAAGGCTTAAAAAAGTGGGAGTAGTCCCTCTAGAGCAAAGCTTACATCGTATTTGGATAGAGCAAAAACGCGCTTTCTAGCGATATGCAACTCGTAGCAGTCTGCCGAAAATTTAGCCAGAAATAATGCCATGAAACTTGAACTATTGAAAACGGCCAGAACTTTCCTTACTACCTAATAGTTTGCGAAGGTAGTACGATCTTCTGTATACGAATATCACACTCGTTTTGCGTAAAGAGTGGGCATGCGCGGCTGGTGACAAGGCAATCATGAGCAACTACCGAAAACAGGAGTTCATGTACGAAGCACTAATACAGGCAACCTAAGGATACCATCAATAAAGTAAGATCAAGAAGGTCTTTGAGCCATCTTGCAGAAAAAAAGGCAAAACCGCAAACGTCGCCGAAATGATCTGACGCCCCCCCCCCCAAATTCGACCCTCTACCAACTACCCCACTTCTCTTCTTCTATTCAAACCCTCGAATGGCTTTTATGCAAAACTGCACAGGAGAAAAGACTTGGCGTTTTTGCTCAGAGAATGATTTAGCAGATTTGAGATCAGCGTTTCAAGACGCTTGTAAGAGTTTGTCTCATGCCGAGTGGCCATGGCGACCTATAGGGAACTTCCTTGCTAGTATGGGTGCTGGAGGAGAGATTGCTGGGTTGTACCACGCCAAAACTTACGACTACTGGCACTAGGTCAGCAAAGCAGAGTCACAAGTCTCAATAAACAAAAGTCGTTCTCAGAAATAATAGCGTAAACTGGTAACATAAAGCGTAAAATAAGCTCACAGGTGTCAATAGCTGGATCCAATTCAAACGGAATCCTCTTCTTCGGTAGTCGAACTTTATAGTTGCGGAAACCCTTGGCCAATGCTTCCTCAAAAAGATAAATTCACTGAAATAAGTCTAACAACAGTGGTCGATCAAAGTGGAACTTTTTGGATTATGGCTATGTTTGAATGGCAATTTAGAAACAGTATGGAATTCTCGAGTTTCGATAAAGGGAACAATTTCTCAATGACACATTTGCTATCGAAATAAAATTTGAACACAATGGACGTCCAAAGTTACAACGCTTACAAAACTTTCTATGAGGGAAAGGAGTACATTCGATGTGAATGGAGACTCTTGAAGAGAGCAAGCAAGTAGCAAAACAATTCGAAATAAAAAAAATAGCAGCAAAACTTGCAAAGAATTGTAAGATACCAAAACAAAACCAAAAAGCTGTTTCATTACATTTTGACAACTTCGTTCCTATCGAGGTTTGGAGGCGCTATCACCCTGCCGTTGACAGCGTTGATGTGCGAGACTACGAAAATTACCAAAAAGAATGTGTCCGGAATTACCTTGACAGACATCTCCTTGTCAGATTGTTCGATTATCTGCTTCATCGGGTCGTGAGAGATCGCGTTCACAGAATTACAGCTCTGAAAGTGATATGAGATAAAAAAAACAGCAATGAAAAAAATTCGAGAAAGGAGAAACCCTGAGCAGGAACATCGAGAACATATCGAAGGAGCATATTTGTCATCTGAGAGGTAGGTAGTATCTGTGGGAATTCTAATTTCGGACGGAGAGTAGGGCCTTGTTAATGTGGAGAAACTTTTTTTTTTGAAGATTTCATTATTACTAACAATAAGAGCGAAAAGTAGACTTACCGATTTTACGAGAAAAATTCTAGTTTTACTAGATTCCGGGGGTTTTGTGAAATTTCATAAGTTTCGGAGTTTTTCCTGTTTTGGTTGTACTATGAACTCCGCCTCCCCTTCCCTTCCCCGTTGATCGGCAGACACTGCTGGAAAAACTCATATATAGTTCGTAGTTTTAGAGGGGATAGAACTTCAACTTGGCTAGGACAGGGTTGACCACCTGCTGAAAATACCCAATAGAAAGTCGTACTTCGTGTCTCAAGGAAGGAAGTCACATTTGGAGAAAAAGGATTGTATTTTTGAACAGGAGGCAGATTCTTAAGTAGTGGAAGTCGAATCTAACCGTGGTGTCTGGCCGATGTCAAAAATTTTACAACCTCGCTCTGCCGTTCCTATTCGCTGCTGCCTGAGTCAATTAGACTGAGGGAGGGGGGATGGAGAGGGGGATGGGGCCTTTTTAAGGAAGATTGTATTGATTGTACATTGAAACACACTCCAACAAGGGAACAGTTTAAAAATCCCCGTGAAACTTCGAAAGGAGGGCCTAGGTAAATTAGATATCCTGGAACGCTGAAACAGAGAAAAAACCACCTGACCTTTGGGGGGGGGGGCGAAATTAGCAAAAGGCGTTTTTGAGGAAAACTAGTTTTCACGCACTCAGCGTCGCTCTGGTGTGGTTATAGACCTCCCGTTCTGAGCCAGGAGCCCGCTGCGTAGGTCCTTGCACATTGTGCTTTACCCTTAGGAGTTTTATTATGAAGAAGAACACAAATGGCGCCGAAATGGATGTCATTTTCGAAATATGACGATTCAGCGAGCGAGACTTCGATGGATTTGGAAGAAAAAGTTGAGACGCGAAATTGAATGTCAGCACTGACCAGAACACTCATTTCCCACTATAGGCAAGCGAGAGAACATTCAGATATTGACCTAACTTTAAGGAAATCAGCACCTGTGGATTCATTACCCAACTGCGAATGCCAACAGACAACAAGAAGACAATTTGCTAGCAGAAAGCAGACACCCAAAGATGAATAAAAGTACACAGACAATGGTGAAATTGCCGG